TGACACTGGGAACTGATAACTGTTTCAATGCTGGCTTTCTTTAGAAAAGTGATATTGCTAACGAAATAAAATACAGAAGTAAGGAGCATCAAGTAAGCATAATATTTATACTAGCCAGCCTAGATATGAAATGGACTTGTCAGGGGTGGGTCAGCTGGAAAATGTTAGAAATATTGCTTCTTCTTTTGGAGAGAGCAATTCCATCTATGGCATATTAGCCTGTTGCTATGAGACACACAGCCTTTGAGAAATCAGTGTGTGACAGAAAGCCTGTTTTAAACATGTTGCCTAAATATAAACAGGCTTCTGTCATCCCGCTTAACTCAGACCCAGTATTTGTCTTTCATTTCTAGTAGTGAATTGCTTTTTAATTCCCTCATCTTATGTTTGTTGTCGAGTGGCGTCGGCTTGGCCCTATACGTTTTGAAAACCTTGATCATTCTTTCTCATTATTGCTTGTTTTGAGTAGCCGATGATAGTAGGCTAACCCATTCTTTCCTGATCTAATCAAATTCCAGAGGGAATGCACAGGATATATATACAGTCGAACTGTGCACATATTAATTCCCCTCAGTGAGGGAATTGCTCTGTTCCCTATAAGACACAATGGAAAGCAAAAACTCTGAAATGTAGAGAAATATTGATTTTTGGGAGGGAAGAATAATTCCAGCTCCCGGCTAGATGAAAATGAAGTCATAGATCAGTGGAAGGGTTTCTCTCAAAAGCACTGAGAGTGATCAAAAAGCCAATGAAGAATATCATTGTTCGTCCTCCCTCTCCTTCACTTTCATGCCGTATTTTGGCCTCGTGAGCTTCACTGTCTACATGGATTAGTTTGAAAAATATCCACAGAGTTAAAATGCCTCTGCTACTATAAATTGCCATTTATCCTCACAGATATTTTCAATTTAGAGAAGTGCTTTCAAGTTCTGGCCAAACCAAACGAAAGCCTCAGACATTCTCTTGAGAGCTTCCTCTCCTAGAAATACTGCAGCTATTCTTCTGAAGTCTGATGCTGATGAACTGGATTTACATGTTTAGCACGTTAGCCTTGATTTCCTTTATTTTTATCCTGTTTGTTTAGCATTTCCATTTCAAATCGAACTGATGTTGTTAGTAATTGTAAAAATAAAAAATCTAATGATCTCACCTTCACTTCTTTGTTCACCTCTTGATTCAGATTAGTAACTTTTATGGCATTAAAGTGAATTAGTAACCTCTTGTCAATCTAATCAAAAACGGGCTACATGCTGTAGTGTGTAGTTTGTTTACTAAGAACAGGAAACTGACGCTTTAAAAATGTTGCGTCGAGTCTCGATTTCTGCTGCGACAATCAGATCCATCCTGCCTTGTTACCACTGTGCAGGCTGGTGGTGGTGGTGTAATGGTGTGGGGGATGTTTTCTTGGCACACTTTGGGCCTCTTAGTACCAATTGAGAATCATTTAAACGCCAGAGCCTACCTGAGTATTGTTTCTGACTATGTCCATCCCTTTATGACCACAGTGTTCCCATCTTCTGATGGCTACTTCCAGCAAGATAACGTGCCTTGTCACAAAGCACAAATCATCTCAAACTGTTTTTTTGAAAATGACAATGAAAAAAATAAGGCCTCCACTGTCCCCAGATCTCAATCCCATCTCTCTACACTATCCCATCTCACATTTGGGTTATAGTGGAACTGGAGTTTCGCATCATGGATGTGCATCCGACAAATCTGCAGCAGCTGTGTGATGTTATCAGTAAGTAGTTGGCTATATTTCATACTGCATATAACCAAAATCTACAAATTCATCCCTGTACGTTAGTGGCTGTCAAAATGAAATGCTTTTGTAGTGTTGCAACACCAAAGTAGCTCATTGTTAATGATATTTCATAACAATAGATTTAACAAGATGTCCTGTTCAAATAGCAAACAAAGCAAACAATTATAATCACAAACAGGTCACCATTTTCCATGTCCTGTATGTGCACTCTTGAAGACAAACAGCAAATCTTTGCTTTGAGAGGTTTCCAGGCTGACCTTAGCTGATTGGCCTTTCGTGGTTTCCACATATGTAGATCTGAAAAGAATTAAGTGTACCAGATTCAGGTATAATCCACTTTGATTAATGCTCCACGGAAAGAACACAAAGTTTGGCAATCAAGGCCCCATTTCTCATATAAAAAAAAGAGAGAGATTGCTTTAGAAAAATATAGAAGGAAAACAATGTACAGCATGCATGATAATCTGATTTTGCTTTTTCATAAGATCAGGTGTGATTCAGTCAACATTTTGCCCATATGATTTAGTCAACATCTCATTTTCTTCTGTATCACACTTATAAAACGCAATGACTATTTCTGAGTGTGTTTTTTTTATTTTGTTTTTCTGCAGTTCCCATCATGAATCTAATGATGCAACAGCCTCTAATCACACATCCAGGCTCTGGTATCACTGATTATTCTGCTGGTTTACTAACTCTTGATAAGTGATCCACTTGGCCTTGCATTGCTCTTTCAGACATTCAACAAACAGCGGCAGTATTAAACACACAAACTCAAATGCAATTAATATGCATTTGTTTCTCGACCCATCAGATTGACTTGTTGATAGGCAAACCTCTGTTTGAGATAATGTAGCAGATATGCTGCATTTACCTGGTGAATGTTTATTATGTGGGGGACCAACAGCTTATGTAACAGTTCCATATACACTCTATCAGTGAATGTCCAAACAACACCCACAGACCTCACAATTAGTGCAGCTATTTGTTATTTCTGAAGAGATGCTATTCTTGCATTCACACATCAACTAGTTATGTTTAAACCACATGTTTTTTATGTGTGTGTGTATATATATATATATATATATATATATATATATATATACATACACACACACACACACATTCATGGTCAAAAGTTTACAGATTAACATATAACAGTTTACGTATGTGTATATAGGCCTATATATATATATATATACACTCACCGGCCACTTTATTAGGTACCCCATGCTAGTAACGGGTTGGACCCCCTTTTGCCTTCAGAACTGCCTCAATTCTTCGTGGCATAGATTCAACAAGGTGCTGGAAGCATTCCTCAGGGAGTTTGGTCCATATTGACATGATGGCATCACACAGTTGCCGCAGATTTGTCGGCTGCACATCCATGATGCGAATCTCCCGTTCCACCACATCCCAAAGATGCTCTATTGGGTTGAGATCTGGTGACTGTGGAGGCCATTTTAGTACAGTGAACTCATTGTCATGTTCAAGAAACCAATTTGAAATGATTAGAGCTTTGTGACATGGTGGAAGTAGCCATCAGAGGATGGGTACATGGTGGCCATAAAGGGATGGACATGGTCAGAAACAATGCTCAGGTAGGCCGTGGCATTTAAACGATGCCCAATTGGCACTAAGGGGCCTAAAGTGTGCCAGGAAAACATCCCCCACACCATTACACCACCACCACCAGCCTGCACAGTGGTAACAAGGCATGATGGTTCCATGTTCTCATTCTGTTTACGCAAAATTCTGACTCTAACATCTGAATGTCTCAACAGAAATCGAGACTCATCAGACCAGGCAACATTTTTCCAGTCTTCAACTGTTCAATTTTGGTGAGCTCTTGCAAATTGTAGCCTCTTTTTCCTATTTGTAGTGGAGATGAGTGGTACCCGGTGGAGTCTTCTGCTGTTGTAGCCCATCCGCCTCAAGGTTGTGCGTGTTGTGGCTTCACAAATGCTTTGCTGCATACCTCGGTTGTAACGAGTGGTTATTTCAGTCACTGTTGCCCTTCTATCAGCTCGAACCAGTCTGGCCATTCTCCTCTGACCTCTGGCATCAACAAGGCATTTCCGCCCACAGAACTGCCGCTCACTGGATGTTTTTTCTTTTTCGGACCATTCTCTGTAAACCCTAGAGATGGTTGTGCGTGAAAATCCCAGTAGATTAGCAGTTTCTGAAATACTCAGACCAGCCCTTCTGGCACCAACAATCATGCCACGTTCAAAGTCACTCAAATCACCTTTCTTCCCCATACTGATGCTCGGTTTGAACTGCAGGAGATTGTCTTGACCATGTCTACATGCCTAAATGCACTGAGTTGCCGCCATGTGATTGGCTGCTTAGAAATTAAGTGTTAACGAGCAGTTGGACAGGTGTACCTAATAAAGTGGCCGGTGAGTGTATATATATAGTGCATGTGTACAGTAGTGCCCAAAAGTGATGTCCGGCCAAGGAAAATTTATCTTCACCCTTTATTCAAATATTATGCAATTAAAAATTGTGAAATATTGCGTAGTTGTGCTTGGAGTGCACATATTTTTTTATTTGTGATAGCACAATAAAACATCATTTTTGGCAAGGCTGTCACACAAAGAAATTATGAACACATGCAAAAAAACAAGAGTGAACCAATAAAATATTAATAACTGATTATGTTGTAGTCAATGTATGCTTTTTTTTCAGTTTTTCTATGCATTATTTTGCATAGTCAAATAAAACCTGTAGCTGTAGTTTGCCTTTTTTTTCTTCTTTTTTTTTTGCCAAATACTTTTGTCAGATAACTATTATATAACCAAGTTTAGTATTTTATTCTTCCCTCATTGTTAAAATATAAAAATATATATATATATATTTTCCTCTATTTTGATGGTTTAATGAAGGGTCACATCAAGTTTGGCCACTAATACAGTATATAGCCTATACTAAAACTCCCTTTTTATTATTATTATTAAATCCATTAATCATATTATAACACTAATTGTTTGGTAAACTTACATGCATAATAATTTAAAACTGATTTATGTCTCATTTTTAATGTGTATGGTGTATATTAGTTTATAGCATAATGGTTTTCTAATATCTCATACACGAACATAATGTTGGTGAATCTTTGTAAACAAATAGAACCATTAATCAAATGCAAAAGCAAAGTGGCAACAAAGAGCGACCCCTTTCACTCAAGCCTGCTATGTTTTGGCTCCAGCTGTGGCTTGCGTCAGCGTGACGTCAGGATCCTCATAACCCTCGCTCGAGCTGAGCAACATTGGAGAGGCAGCGCTACAAACCCACACGAGTCTGACGAACACCTGCGGGAGATCAACAAGGCTATAAAGGATGCACCAGTGCCTTCTTACTTTCGATCTCCAGAGTTTTTTTAAAGCGTGCCAGAGTGACTGAAATGTGGAGCGTGCGTTGAACTGGATAGTGGCGTTTGAGTTTCATTCCTTTAAAGATCTGGACGCGTTTCTGCGAAAAAATAATGAATGACATAAAAGTTGCTGTTCTTGGATCCGATGGTGTCGGGAAATCAGGTATATTTATCATTTTTATTTAATTAAATGCTTAATTTATCATCTTCATTAAATAGCCTATTGTTTCGTTTTTTTTATCAATGCAAAAAAAAAAGCAAGTTAGACAAATATTTACAAAAAACCTGTAATATGTGTCATGTTAAATTTTATAATACACATACATACATACTGTATATGTGTGTGTGTGTGTTTTGTATGTTTCATCTTTTGTACTCCTCTTCACATCCACAGCACTCATTGTTCGATTTTTAACCAGGCGATTCATTGGAGAGTATGCATCATCATCAGGTATGTGTGATATTGTTTTCAGATTGCATTTTTTCCCCCTTTTGTTTATGGAGTGCATTTGGTTTGGAGAAGTGTACAGAACATATGAGGTATAGGCTGGAATCTTTTTTTGCGTCTGATGTGATCTGTTCTTGCCTTTTACAGAATGCATTTACAGAAAGCGCATGTCTATTGATGGAAGACAGCTCAATCTTGAACTTTATGACCCCTGTTCTCAGGTATGTGGACATCTAGCTGGAGTAATCAAGGCAATAACTTCATAAAGCATCTTGTGGCTTAGTGTGCTACTGCATATTCCAGTGACATAACAGATCTTTCTTTAAGATCACTTAACCTTTGCCTGTTTGAACAGGTAGACTGAATTTCATTGTAAGCTAAGAAAAACATATTGTATACATACATGGATTGTAATGTAAGCGCCTCATCTTGTACACTTTACTAGTCTTGGCTTTTCCCAGAGACCTGGCATTATCAAAAACTTTTAGTATATGTATCCTGTAGAAAGCAAGTGGTGTCTGTCTTCCTGGCATTAATGCGTATTGCAGAAGGTTTCGCTGCTTATACAATCTTTCCACAAGCTCCAGACACAACCAACAGCATATAATACCAATCAGTTCTGCTCACTGTACGCTTATATTATTCTTTGGAAATAAACCTTATATAACCACAAAAGAGTGATTTAATATGAGATGAAGCTTTGTCCTCTTGAGCTTTATATATATTATTAATGAGGTAAAAATGAGGCAAACACAGTCTAGGAGGAAGACTGTGTTTTCCTCTTTGATAAAATCCAATTATATAATCAGTCCTGTTGTCCATTATGTGATTGGATGCCATCTGTGCATCTTGGGGGTCCAGTCGATTATCCTGTTTTTCCTCAAACAATCCCATTTTGTGTAATCAGTGATGTTTAGTTAGTTAAATGAATATTGATGTTGTAAATAGTTTGACACAAAAGGTTAGTTAGTGGTTTTTGCACACTAAAATCAAGTATACCAGTTAAGTCTTGTGGTTATACTATTGAAACAGTGAGTATTTTAACGTTTACAGATCGGCCCTGTTCACTTTCATTTTAAGTGCTCCGGATTTTTGGATTTAAACTTTTGTGGTTCTCCGCATTGTGCCTCAAATGCTGTCGATTGAGCTGAACATGTATCGAGCTTGTAATGTTCCTTTAAATACATAAGGCATGTGTGATTTCTTTGCAGCCGTGCGAGGGGAAATCCACTCTGAAGGAGCAGATCCACTGGGCTGATGGTTTCGTGGTCATTTACGACATCAGCGATCGTTCCTCCTTCCTCACGGCCAAAGCCATAGTGCACCTGATCCGAGAGCTTCACCTGGGTGGGACTAAAAGGTAACGGTTCTCTAAGTTCACAACAACATCCTCAGGCAGCAGAAGATGTGCCTATTTCTGTCCATATACTGTATGATTGTTGCTCTTATGTGGGTGTCTAATTCACCAGCTTGGGTTTGCATTGAGGAGTGCTGTTGATTTGACTATGTGGGTGATGTTGATGGGTGGATGAGCTGGTGACTCAATGAAAAATATCTATGTTTAGTTCATCCTTGGCTATTGAGAATTTTCCAGTGATAAAGCATATGCACTGGACAACTCACTTTACAACAGAAATAGGTGGAATATTGAATGGCCTTGTGTTTTCAATTAAGATTTATTCATGATTCGTTTTTTTCATCATTTAAAGGAATTGCGATTTTTAGACTTTACCTGCTTTTTCTTTTACTTTGGTTATAGTGAGTTAATTTAAGCAAAGCCAAACGCAAGGAGAAACGTCAGCCAATCAAATTAAACTTCTCTTAAAGTCAGCATGAAACAGAAGTTGTGATCGTCTTTTCTTCCCCATTGTGACGTATATCCGTGTGAAACGGCTTATCGAACAAGAAACAATGTAGGGCGCGACTTGATTTTGTCCATCAGGAATTGATTGGATTGTTGGGTGATTGTGGTTTGCTATTGGTCGATCTCATGTGAGTGACAGGTTGTCCCGCCCTCGCGCCGGTAAACATGTCATCAGAGAAGTGAAGAGATGTCACTGCAAGAGGGAGGGAAGGTTATTTTAATTAAAGATTATGAGGGCGCATGAATAGAATTTTTTTTTAAAGATGTGCACGGATAAATCACTTATAATAATAACCCTGCAATATTCCATAAAAAAATAAGAATTGTTCATTTTGATTTCATGGTGACTCATCTAATCAAAAGAAAAATGATGTTGTGTTCTGAATTTGGTGGCTTTTTAAGAGAAATTTAGACATCCCATATGCAAGTGTAGTTGATCAATTTGGAAAACTGTAGCAAACAATCAAACATCCTAAGTACTGTTGTTACTCCTCTGACCCCAGGGACACGGACTCTGTGATCTTCCTGGTGGGAAATAAGCAGGACTTGTGCCACATGCGTGAGGTGGACCGGGAGGAAGGCCAGAGGCTGGCGTCAGAGGGCCGCTGCCAGTTTTACGAGCTGTCCGCTGCGGAGCACTACCAGGAGGTGGTGCTCATGTTCTCAAAGATCGTGCGCAATGCCAGTCTGGGAGGCAAAGCCAAGGAGCGCCGCCGTCGCCCCAGCGGATCAAAGTCCATGGCCAAACTCATCAACAACGTCTTCGGAAAACGGCGGAAATCTGTTTGAGAACGAACTTGGACAATTGTTGCAGGACTAATGTATGAGATGCATCAAACTTGTTTAGATAGTTCCTCACCGCTTATCGTCTGGGTCACACAGTCCTTACCGGGTGCATCTCACAAAACACATCTAGAACATGGTCAAACGAAAACAAATTGTGTCCTTGCTTAAAGAAAATGAAGCCTGATAATTATGATTTTCACATTGCAACAATATTTTCATGACAATTAAGCACAATTACCTCATAAATTCTCCTTACCGTAATGATTTCTCATTGTGGCAATGAGAAAATGTGCTGAACTGAATCGTCACAATGCAAAACATTTAAAATAGGCTTAATTTTATTTATGCAAAATAAAATAACCTATTTTTTTACGTCCGTGTACAGCTGCACATATCTGTTCTTTGCCTTAAATGTTTCTTTAATCACTTCGTTTGATGTTTAAAAAAATACTAACCCTTAAGTTGTGAAATATTGTTAGCTTGCTATGTAGTTATTGATAAAATGTTTAATGTATGATGCCATCAATGACTGACTAATGGTGTCGTTTATGGATTTTGAAATCTCTTCAAATTCATGAAAAATATAAATATCTGTGCATCAAAATGATGTGACCGTACTGACCAAGCATCTTTTCATCTTCTAGGACTTCACATCTAAAGGTATTTGTTTCCACAAAATTGGGAAACAACTGACCTATGTCCAGAGCATAAGTGATAGGTATGCAGTATTGAATACTTTATCTGACATGCTCACAGAAATAGCATTATCTTGAATGTTGTGCAACTGAATTGGTTCAGGTAGCAAGTTTGCATGTTACAGTCAGGAGATAATGTAGAATAGACTCAGATTTTGGAAAGAAACAAGCGATGAGTCACTATTTGTTCTAATTTTGAACTACAAATTACCAGATACATAGTACATGCAGTATTGTGCAAAATGCTAATTACTTTCAATGTTCTAAATAATGTGTGTAATAGAATACACAGTATGCACTATGTAGCCTACTACTATTTAGTAATACTATTAAAACGGTTTAAAAAGTAAAAGGATGCTTTTAAAGATCAATTGATGTTGCTTGTGGTTCATTCCTCCTCACACTGGCAATGGAAGGTCAAGTTGGATGCATTGCATTGTGGGATCCAGTGCAGTGTGCTTTGGATGCATGGTATGTTTGTCAAAAGGTGGTTATTCCATGCACACAAAAATGTTGCATACTGTACACTGAAAACATTCTACAGAAACATTCAAGTAGTAGGTTACTACTAAGACATACTACAAAATACAATGTGATGAGTATGATGTAGTGTGTAGTGCATACTATGCATTCAATGAGTTGTTAATTGAGTAAAAACCAGCCAGAACAACCGCATATCAACATCCTCCATCCACCCACGTCATCACACAACATCCGATTTTTCTACAGAAAAAAATATTTTATATACAAAAAAATAAATAAAAAATCCAAATCAAGCGTTGTTCTGAAGGTAGTACCCTTACAAAAAAAAAGTTTATTTAAGTGTGCTGTTAGTATACATCTTTTAAACTAAAAAATAAGAAAGTATACTTTCGGTCTATACTTTTTATATTTCTCAGAAATATACTTTAATTTACAGAAAAGTTCTTGTACTTGTAGCAGTTAAAAAATGTGCTATAAGTATTTAACAAGTAAATTATCAGCATACATATACGTTCACTTCTATAGTTCCAGTACGAAAAACGTAGTTGTAAACTAGTTGTGTACACAGTTTACTACTGTTACATAAAAGTATACTTTATACACTAAAAAGAGGGCAAATTTAGCCCCAAGTAGACTTACAAGTATACTACTAGTACATAGATTTTAATATACTTGCTACTTAAAGTATACTTAAGTAAAAGTCAAGTACATTTTTTAAGTATACTTAATAAAATAACCTTGAAGTATACTTATTTTTGTAAGGGATATTTGAGGCCTGGTTTACACACAATCAAACAGATGAGACAAATTCTCATTCTTTTGGCAACCGACAAGGCCAAAGACAAGCTATCATGCTTTTTCGTTGACCTTTTGGACGTCTGGCCAACATCCAACAAGACAGTTTCCTACATCAGTAAGTAATGCTGCGTAATATTTGAGTCAAGTGTGGATTGGGTCTCTTTCATACCTGCAGAAGCTAGCGAAGATGAGAAACCTCTATCAACATAAGGGAGAGGAGCAGATGGCTGTTTGTGTAGCATCGATTCAAAGGGAGATATGAAACACAACGTTTTTGCTTATGAGGGTCTTGTCATCACGTATTGATTCCTGGATAAACACTCAAACAGCTAAACGTGCTGGGAATTTCACTTTTAAGTCATGCTTTGTGAACTCCCCCCTCGCCTAAACATGTATTTTTCGCTTACCATTATAGGTAGGACGTCTATGTTCGGCCTGTCAACCTATCAGAATTTAGTGTGACAGTTTGCATTACACTTGTGGTGTTTTAAAAGAAGTGTGTAAGTTTAGCACCTCTAGTGATGAAAAATGGAATTGCAATCTGTTTGTTTGAGTGGCTCAGTTGGGCCCGACATAGCCTCGCGTAGCCAGACCTTCAGACTGACGGCTGAAGGTCTGGAATTCATAGCAGCTTTCTTTGGCCAAGGCCCGCCCATAAGGCCGTTTGACCGACATGTAAAACAACCAATTACAGTTCGTTTCGTTCAGCGTCACGTTTCGGGGCGTGGAAATGTCCCCACAACAACAGACCGGCGTGCAACAAGTCAGTCAGCATAGAAAATCAAAGAAGGAGAAGAAAACCGAACACAATACTGAATCGGCCAGCTGCGATGTCAGCGTCTGTTGTTTCATGTTTGCCCGCAAACGCGGCTGATATCCCCTTCGCAGTTAGGTACTTCACTTGATCTTCCATAATAGATAGGAGGGGACACACAACTAGTAAAATTGGATCTGCTGGGAATCCTTCTAAATGCTGACAAAGGGTTGACCAGGCTTGGAAAATAATACTCTTCCCAAATCTCGTCGGCAAACAGGCTAAAATATCTCTTTTTGTCTCCACTAAGTGCCTCAAACAAAACTCCTGGACATCTCTTAAAGAGTCTATGCCGTGAACCTCGCATACTTTTGAGAATCCTACGTTTAGCTGATCTTGATAAATGCTCATTGTCACTCATGTAAACACAAGTTTTTCTTCCGCAATCACACGTCTGCGCTTTGTTTCCCTGCGGACCGAAAATAAACGCGACACTCGCGCCCCCCGGAAATCCGATAAAATTCAACCAATCAGATGACGACTTCGACATTCCTGAAGTGTTTCCAGTTAAGTGTACCATTTGCATCAGACGTTTAGCCAACGTTCCGTGGGCGTGACGTCTGAGGCTGAGACTACGCCCGACATAATAACATTGGCACTGGCGCGAGTTGGGATGAGGCAGCCTGTTTGTCCAAACAAAGGAGGATAGAGGAGTGGTTTGAAATTAGTTTGACAGCAGTCTTTATTTTCATTATTCTGTTTGCTGAAGCTAGTTAAACAGAAACACATCACTTTAAGTCCGCATGAAACAGAAGTTTTATTGTGACGTCTATCCGAGTGAAATGGCTTCTCGAACAAGAATAAATTATAGGGGGACTTCATTTTGTCCATCGGGAATTGATTGGAATCGTTGTTGTTTGCTATTACTGTGATCTTATGCAATTGTGACAGATTGTCCCGTCCTCATGCCCTAAAAACGTCATCAAGTGTGAGGGGGAGTTATTTTGATTAAAGATTACGATGACAAAAAAAAAAAAAAAAAAAAAAATGTACATGGATAAATCGTTTATAATAATAACTGCAAAATTCCATAAAAATATTAATTGTCAGTTTTGATACAGAACGTTGGCCTCTATCGCCATCTGTGGTTGAAACGTAAATTGCAATTTACTTGTGGAGTTGTTATTTTACATCAGTCTGAATCTGATATTTTGTGTTCTTGCTCAGTAATAGAATTATGTTAAACACCTTGCACACATTTCATGTTTGAATTTAGTGATAGGGTTAGGACTTAACAGTTACATGATAAGAGTGGCATCAACCCACCTGCATTTTTCTGTTATTCACGCTTCCCTTAGTTTTAGATATGGGGATTAAAAATAGCTGCACAGTTAGTCATCGCAATACAATGTTAGTTGTACAGTCAACAGGGTAAAAAGAAAACAAACGTGCTGTCATACCTCAGACTTATCCTCCCACCTTAAGCTCTTTAAATTTGGTCACGAGACATAATGAATAATATTGTTTACCACAACATGTTCTCGTATCATCATTCACCCAGTAAAGAGGCACTGACAGCATCTGGCGCAGGCGGAGTGGATTGGTGGTGTGTGTTTACATGTGCAAACTTGTGGAAGGACGAGCAGCAGAAGAGAGGTGTTGCTGGAAGGAAAGCAAGCAACCGGTTCCGAGAGATTTGCTGTCCAAACCACATGTGAACTTGTGCGTGACCCCTCTTCAGGTGTTCTTGGCAAACACTGAATTTTTAGCGATCTCAACACCTGACCAAAGCAAAGAGCCCGGTCCGGCCCTGCACGCAAAATTACCTAACCGCAACATACCGTGTACCATCACAGATGGAAATACTGTCTTTTACCTTCACAGGGAACGACACACGTTGAGCAGGTGTAGCCTACTGAAGACTGATTCTCACACTGCTTATAAATTAATCATCATATTTATTAATAAACTGTATACTGTAATTAATTAATTCTGCAAGCGATAGTGTTCAATAACAGGGGTGTTAACGAGGTCAAGTCAGCCGTATTCAGCTGGTCATGTGATCTCAAAATGGCTGCCCCCATGAGGAGACCTGCTTCATGTAAAATAAAGCAGCTTTTATTAGGATACAGATATGACTGATGTAAGTGTACAACGTTTTGAAATAATGTTTTAAGTAACATTCATATCTTTATTTTTTAATGTGTAAAAATAAAATTACTGAGTGTATACACCTCAATATATTTGACCCAAACAAAACCAGTTAGTTTTGATAGTTCATCTACACTCACCGGCCACTTTATTAGGTACCCCATGCTAGTAACGGGTTGGACCCCCTTTTGCCTTCAGAACTGCCTCAATTCTTCGTGGCATAGATTCAACAAGGTGCTGGAAGCATTCCTCA